GGAGGCAATAATAGCACAAACAGAAGCCATACACAAGTACATATACATTAAAGATTGAGCTTGACAGTCCAATATAACACAATATGAATCACACACATCTGGATCCACTATTAGTAGCAATAGACTGGATAATAGACTCATCATTATAATGATTACAATGGTCTAATAGGAGGGACCTACAAATTACTATGGACCTTATTCTCTGTCTAATTCATTAGCGTACAACCATCAGAAATACACCTACCAACTCTAATACATACACCACTGAACAAATACTGTAAACCCATTAATAATACTGATCCATACATTTTAACATTTCCCTGTATTTTGTGAAAGTTAATGTCATGAATATGCTCCTGACAGACTTTAATATACCCACCACTGTAAAAACGTTACTCATAAAGGTCGTTAAATTATTTGTGTTTAGAGTGGACTATACCAGTGTACCAGCTAATGTATTGAACCAATAAAGTTTGTTTTTGATATTTTCTGTTACATTATTAATTGTTGCTGTCCTTATGTCATGTACAATGTAGACAGTTTGAATTGATTTCCCAACACATCACATTGAGTTAGTAACTATAATACACTGTACATGTACACGTACAGTCATATGCTACCTAGAAAAGGTTAGCTAGTTTTATTTTTTTAAAGCTTTTTATAAAAATATTAGAATGCAGTAGTAATCTTGAGTTGTATCATTTCACAGCATCTTGTGTGGGTTTAAGTGTGCAGGTGTCTCTAACATTCTTTATTGGAATAATTATGTATGAAATGTTCACTCCTCCAAAAGCATGTACATGAGTGGTTAATCACTGTAGTAGATTCCCTAGCACATCAATACACATCATTTACTGATAGAATAGGCTATAATTAAATTATTAATGTAAAAATATGTTGTTTATCCTTAGATACAGTGTGGGTGTGTGTGTGTCTTAATATACTCCATTAGTTGATAGTCTATCACTGGGTCTGTCCCTCAGTTGTAATGATTGCTCAGTATTCCATTCATATTGTCCTTTCCTCACTGATCCTTATTAGCTCCTCCTTTGTCTTTATTTGTATCATTTGGTTATATTAGCTACTAGTTCAGTTTTGTTAGTCTCATTCTCCTGGGAAGGTTATTGGTGGAACATTGTCATTCACTCCCTCTTCACAATTGCATGTCCCATTTAACTAATTCAATAATATTGACAACTACCACACACACAAAATATTGGCTACAACTCGTATCATCACATCACATACAATAAACCTATTGCTACTATCATTCACAATCATTCATTTCTTTGTTAACAGTGCTTGTATATCTTGCGTTTGAGCAGTATCTTCAAACTGTGTCCTCTTGTTATTGATAGACGGTAGCATTATTTCTTGATGGGCTCTAACAGAATATTAAATACTTCAATAATAGAGCAACCATTATTAATGGTATTGCTGTTCATCCTTAGATACAGTGAGGGTGTGTTACTATTATTAATAATGAAATACATTACATGTAAATACTATCAGTCAGTAATTAGAATACAGTCAGTACATACAGTTAGTTAGTTGTATTAAATACACTGATAGATACAGTGAGTGTGTCTTATCAATGACTGTACTAATAATACATGTACAATACACAAAAAGAACAGTGTCCTATAGCTAATTATCATCCAATGCTCATAAGTATAGGTCATACAATGTAAGGTGGAGGTATCTATGTCATTTATTAGACTAAAAGGACTCAGTCTCAAGGTTAATAAGATCATGAATACTGATGCTGGAACAATATCACAAAATAATGGAACAAATCTTAAACTAACAAATTTGCACATTATTCTCATTCCAAAGCCTCACTTTGGCTGAGCTGACATTTTACAAAACAACTCACTATTAGCTGTGTGTCCATAGTTTAATTATTACTAACATTCTTAACAGTAAACCATGCATGGTCCATGATCATTCCTAACATTCTACTGGTCCATGGTCTCTGGTCATATTCTTAAACCTAACTGTAGTGTAATGTATGTATATATGTATTATTCTATTATTGTATTATTGTAGTTATTCTAATGTTTATGTTATGTGGTTACTGTGAATAGCAATAAGGTTATACATGTATGTGTTATTATTTATGTACCATTATTATTATATAGTTTTGTAGCACGTGCTCCACACGCACACTCTCTTTCTCCA